GTGAATTTATTTATCCAATAACTGTCTATACACAAGCAAGCAACAATTTGTTGCTGCTACAAAGAATAAAATGCAGAAACTATTTAATCTACACTGTCTTTGCACAACAGCTTCAATCCCCCGATTGATTGCTATGGACACAGATGGGTGAGTTAATGTTGCCTGAAGTGAAGTTTCTTTGAACAGGTATGTTGATGAAAGGGGCAGAATTCTATCAGCAGTATATGAAGGCAGTGCCGGTCCCAGCACAGTGGGGCTCTGTCATTCCATTTACATCATGGATGGGATTAGGTAGATTGATCAAGCAATTATATGGTCAACCCTTGCATTACCTCACCAATGTTCTCCTAAAACGGTGGGACCAACTGAGATTTGGAAACGAGGATGAAGACATGACTCTGGATATCATTGTTCGTCCTTGTGAAGCTGAAGCCACCATCTGGCTCATTGAAGAAGCCCATCGGCTAACCACATCTTCCCATCACATAGCTAAACTCTGGCTGTCAGATCCAATGCATGATGCTTTTGTTGATCCCATCTTTCCTGAGTTGTGATGTTTCATGTGTTCACTTCTAACTCTGCTTGCTGATTCTGTGTAAGGTTTCTTACAAATCAACAGAACCTTAAGCTGCTAAAACCTCATCTTTTCTTTGGGACAACTGAAGGTGCTGGACCTCTATATTTGGTTGAGTTTTCGATTTGAAGATTCTTTCCCTGACCACGAGCTGGCATCTTCGCAAAAGGCAGCGAGCAGCTTGTTAGTGCCTTTGTTTTGTTTCGTCCTTCGTATTGATACCTTATGAAGGTGAGATGATTCTGTAGGTTAATTGAAGATTTCCTAGAGAGGCTAGGCTGGTGGCCGACGCCAAACCCAAGCAAGTTATCTACACGCTCTAGCTTGAATTCTCTATTCTCCAATGACCTACAACAGAGTCGCTGGGAAGTGGGAAGAAGTGGGAGGGAACTGTGATATTCTTTTTATATATGTATTCAATTTTAGAATTCTTGGGAATGGTTCTGTTCCCAAATAAATGAAAATGGAATAAACCTTCCTTTCATATGTATTGAATTCTAAATGAAATGCTGAAGATAATTTAACACGAGCATTTATGTTTACACACCCAGGACTCTCTGCTTCCTCTCTTCTGCCTGGACCATCAAATTTTCAATCCATTGCTTTGTTTCAACCACGTTCCTTTCACCAAATTCCTTTACCAGCACTTTGAATGTTGACTGATATGGGACCATTCCCTCAGGATGGAATTCTGCTGTATCCCCGTGGTATCCCGGGCCAATAGAAGCATGCCATCTCTGCTTTTTCGGCAGATGATTGATGAAGTGCCAAAAAAAAAAAAAAAATGCTGAGATGGTGTTTTTTTATTGGCCGTTTCTTCCCTCAGAGGTATGCTCATAACCTGTTTGTAATTTTGCCCAGAAAACCCCCAATGCTGGGATCCAATCATTATCAAATCTCTTCGAGAGCTTCTCTATAAAACTGTTTGACACACTTTTTTACCTCGCACCCATTTAGCGCTTCAATAACTTTATCATACGATGAGTACTCTTTCGTTGAGGATTTCACAAACTTGATCGACGTCAGAATCACGTTCGCCATTTGGGAAGTGCATAACCTTGCGGATCTGACTCTTAATCCAACTAGCAACTGAAGGGATGACGAAATCTTCATCTGGGTGGGTACTTTCGGCTTCTGGCTATTGATCCAAGTTCGAAAGAGGGATGAGTCGCCGGTAGAGGGTGAGTTAGCCGAAGGCGATGATTCTGCAACGGTCGATAGAGGGTTAGAGGAGATGTAACGCCTTTCATTGTTGCTCTCAGATCTTTGAGGTCGGAAAGTGGAGATGAGCTTCACGGTTTAGTGATTTCGTATCATCTTTTACCCTAAACCAGAAGGAGACTCGAAAATTAGAGGTTGAATTAAAGACAATCACACAGGAACAAAATGCTGGACAAATCTAGCCCAACCCAACGGAAGAAATGGTTGGGACAAGTTGCTACAGTTATAAACCCAGCTCAGCCCAAAGGAAAATTTCCTTGCAAATGGCATAGGCCCAACCCAAAGAAATGGTTGACTCGTCCCCCGTTTATTTGTTTCGTTGCCCATTTTATTTTCTACTTTGGGTTTCTTTTATGGGGTTGGGGGTTCAACTCGGAGTTGAAATTCATGTGATTTTGTTCACTTCAAGACTCTGTTTTTCTTAACCATGAATAGAACAATGCCCTGGAGCGAGGTAGTTTATGTTGGACAATTTTTCATTTTAAATTAGGAAATAGCCAAAATTAAATTTGTAAAATAGACCTTCAAATTCTTTGGTTGGAGGGAGGACGTTCAAGTTTCAATGTACTTAGGCCTTTGAAATATTAAAGAGATCAAAATGCATGTATTGAATTTACATTTCATCTATGAAAAAAAAATTAAAAATGCATGTATAGAAATGCACTCTCATTATGTAAAAACAAACACTTCATTTGAATTGAAACCCCAAATTCAAATACATACTCTTCAAATTAAGATTCCCAAATTTATACACAATACCTAAGTGTTACTGTCTTGACTAAAGGATTAAATTAACTCTATGGTAGTATACATGTGACATGTGAGAATTGTATATACATAAATTGACTACATGGTATATAAAGTTGCAAGAACTATGCAATAAGATGGACTACTAAAAATCTTCATCAACGACTCAAAATGTCGAAGGATGCCATATTCAAAAAGTAGTTAATGTTTGATATGAAATAAAGTGGCCTTGTTAGCCAATGAGGGTTGATGTAGAGAAGGGACACAATCAATAGAAAGAACACCACATATGCTGGGAAAAAACATGCACGGAAAGCAGGAAAGACAACTTCATACCAGTTCCCTTGAGTTGCATCCAAAGGCAATGATTCTAAATGTGGTATCTTAGTATTATTGATGCAGCATTTCTCCAATGGCAGCTTGAAAAGAAATTGATTTCCTTCATAACTGCTCTCCTCAAATGTTGAAAACTGTGCTTTCATTGGAATATAGCCGGATAAGTTGTTATATGACACATTGAAGACCTCTAAGAAGTTCAGGTTGGTTAACTCTGGAGGAATATTTCCACTCAAATTGTTGCAGCAGAGGTCCAAGCTTTCAATATTGGATAGTTTCGACAAAGTGACTGGAATAGAACCCTTTAATTGATTATGAGATAAATTTAATGCACGAATCTGAGTGAACTTTCCGAGCTCTTGAGGGATTTCTCCGGTCAGATCATTACAAGACATGTCAAGAGCAGACATGAAATTTAGTATACTACCCTTGTAAGAGCTTCCCTTGTTTTTATCAACTAGATAAATCTCATTCAATCCTGTAGCCTCAATATCTATGTAAAGGTCCAAATTCTTCTTTATAAGATCTCCATATATGTGATTTTCATCAATAAACTCATTCAAAATTTGTAACTGATCTTGTACAAGAGTTTCACCATAGTTCTCCATCACCCCAAAGGTTAAATTGTGGAAACAAGAGGGTATTGTTCCAGACAATGAGTTGCTAGAAAGGTCCATTATACTTATATTTTCCAATAAACACAATTTCTTTGGGATTGAACCCTTTAAATGATTTTTTCCCAACAAAAGAAGTTTCAGATTTTGAAACGTACCAATCAGGTCAGGAATGCAGCCAAACAAACTGTTATCTCTGAGATTCAACACAGAAAGACTACTTGAGGAATTGGGAAGAAAATCTTGCAACAATCCTGTGAACTTGTTCCCCTCTAAATGAATCTCAATGATGGTGGTGAAATCAATGCAAGAAGGGAGAGGACCAAAAAGAAAATTATGAGAAAGGTCCAGAAAAAGCAACAGGGCAGACATAGGCTGTTGGCATGGAAATTGGCCTTCAAAAGAGTTATTCCTCATTGAAATTAAAAAGACCACCTGATATGATGGCAAAGAAAAGTTATTATTAATTTACAATATCCATGTGATTATTTACTTGTTGGTTTTTGCCAAATCAAATTCGAGGTAATAAAATATAGATTTACCTTAAAAAGAGTTATTCCTTATTGAAATTAACCAACTCACCTGACTAGCCCAAGTGGGAATCGGACCCTTCAAGTAGTTGTTGCTAACATCGAATATGTCCAACGTCTCAAGCTTCACATCTAATAGGCTTCCTGTGAATCCATTGTTATTCAATTCTAATTGATGCAATTGACTCAAGTTGAATTTAGATGAGAAAAATTGGCCACTAAATCTATTATTAGATAACCTCAAATATTGCAAAGTGCTACACCCCACAAGCAATTCATTGGGGATTTCTCCTGAGAAAAAATTGAAGGCCAAATCCAACTTGACCAAATCTCCCATATTACCAAGGCTACTTGGGAGAGCACCTTCAAATTGATTCCAAGATAAATTAAGATATTGTAAGTTAGGAAGCTTGCCCCCAAAATCTTTAGGTAACTTCCCTGTAAATTTATTTTCTGATAGATCCAGCCAAATCATATTTTGCATTTGATAAAATGGTAAATAGAATGCACCAGTAAAAGAGTTATTCCTCAGATTCATAAATATAAGATCAGAATTGTTTTGTAGTAGCCAAATTGGAAACCCTCTTGTCAACTTGTTGTGAGAAAGATCAATTACTCTCAACCTTCGTTGGTTGAAAAGAAACTTTGGAATACTATTTAGACTCAAATCAGAGAGTACCAATGCCTTCAATTGAAACAATAGATTGATCGAACCAAGACTTTGAGCATCAATTTGTAGTCTATCTTTGTTGCCTGTGAGCATGAATACCTCAAGCTTGGAATGATTTTCAACATAATTAAAGGAGAATAAGCCTTGGAAATTGTTATGACGAAGATCAACAAATTCAAGGGATGATGGGAGTCTTCGTATCAAATCTGAGGAAAGGTTTTCAATGAAGAGGTTGTTAGAGATGTCTAAAACTTTAAGAGATGTCAAATTGTTTAGGCATGGAGGAAGTGTCCCTTCAAAACTATTTTGGCTGAGATCCAACTCTTGAAGCCTTTTCAATCCACACAAACCTGCCACAAGGACACAAATGGTTAATTATTTAGAATCTATACTGGCATTTTTCATTAGTTAGACGCTGTATTCATGACAATATTTTTATAAAAGCTCACTAGACTTCAGTGACAATAGTTTTGAAAAGGCACACTGCAAGGATTTTAAAAGTGAATGACTAAACTAATAATAGAAGCAAAAGTCAAGAATTGGCATATATCTTTATAGACTGGTCAAAGACTCAAATACACCATTTGGCTTGATTGGAAGGAATTACTTCTTCCTTATTTGTCAAAAATGAGACACTATAGGCCTCAAGGTAGAAAGCAAACTTGTTACTAGCTATAAAACAACCCTTTTATGACGTGTATGTGTTAAGATAGTGTCTCATGTTTAAATCTCTCATTTGACCATGTCATTGCACGTGTATATGTGTTACAACTCAAAATTTTAGCCAAACTTTATTTTTGTCTTAAAATTTTATTCAAAACTTGTGACAACTCGATTTTTACCCAATCAACTCAAAATTTTCTAAATATCTTAATTTTTCTCAAAAATACTAATTTCCCATAATTTTTTTAACTTTAAAAAAAAATCTTCAAAATGCTTGAGCTCTATTGTAATGTGAGAATTAATTCAAATGACGTTGTGAAGAAAAATCGAGATTTAATTTAATTAAATATCATTTTATACCAAATGGAAAAAAAAAAATTTAAAATCAAGTTCCATTTTACAGGGACTCAGCTGCAACGAAGGTGAAATGGGAGGACTAAAGTGAAAATCGGATGAAGGTTAAAGACTAAAGGGCAAGGAAACTCCAAACGGCGCCGCTTCACGCTGAAAGGGGGGAAAAAAATTGAATAAATAAAAGGGTGCTAGCGTTCTCTTGAACCGAATCGCCAATCCCCACATTTTCAGCAAAAATCCCGACGATTGTCCCCCCTTCCTTCGCCGTTCTTGTACTGCTCCAACAGGATGACCCCCCGCCTCAGAAGCTCTGCAAAAGGGTCCTTGTCCTCTGCTTTTCTCCCCTGCAGATATCAGCTGCTCGATTTTTGCAGGCAAAAAACAAATTAGCCCCTTTCGAATCAACGGTGGAGAGGGAGAGAAGGGGAAAGTCGGAGGGCCTTGGGTAGATCTAGGGTTTTTCTTTCCTGTGTTTAGGGCTAGAAAACAGAGAGAAGGGGGGTTTCTTTGGATTTAGGATTTTGGAGTCTCTTTTTCGGGTTTCGGGAGGAGCAAAGGAGAGCGAGAACAGCGAATCCCCCGCAAGATTCCGGCTACGTTTCTTGCTTGCCTAGCTAGGTAACTTCCAGATCCGAGCACGTAAGGCGCGTCTTCGGGTTTTGTCCCCCGAGACTACTGCAAAACGGTGTACACGGAAGCATGACGACCTGCAAAGCGCCTTTTACTTGTATGTTCATTTTTGTTGTAGATCTGTGTTCATTTTTGTTGTAGATCTGTGGATTTGGATAATTTTGTTGATGGATTTTCAATTGAATGTACTGTGTTTTTTTTTTTTTTTTTTAACAGGAGGAAATACAGTGTTAGGTTAGTATTGTTCGAGGAAAGTCGAGTCTGAAACTCCACTTGCGGACTGAAATGCTTTCCACCTGCTTCTCACTTTGGAGAAGCGAGGCTGCCATTGCAGCCACATGGGGAATGCGAATGTACTGTGGGTTTGAAAATCTCGATTATATATGATAATTAAATCTCAGGTTATTTCAGTGTATGTGGATTCCCAGATCTCGCCGGATTCTGGGATAGGGATGACGCCGGCCGGCGGACCTAAGTCTGGATTTTGTCTATAGGTCTGGGTTTCCTTTTTTGTTTTGGGCCAAGCCCAATTTCCTTTTCTGGTGGGCTTATTTAAAAAACAACAAAAAACTAAACTGGCGAAGGCCCACCGACACCCAACTGATTTTGACCCAACCATTGCTCTGATTAAGTTAATTATTTAATTATATGGATTAATGAAATTTAATTGGTTTTAATTAATCATCTTAATCATTTTTACTTAAACTTTAATAACTCTTGGTTGATCAGATTAATTAAGATGGTTAATTACCATTAATTAATTTTAATTATTTGAAATCAATTATCTTAATTGAATTTAAGTTAATTAATTGGCCTAATTAATCTGAAGTCAGGGTCAATGGTCTATCTTTAACTTCTCATTTGATGCTTATCTTTTCAAAACTGTCCAATTAAGTTCTTACTTTCCAATTTGTTTTAAAACACATCCAAAGGATTGCGAATCTGTACAGTTTACTCCCTTACTTTTTAAACTCTCCAATTTTAAAGTATGCAATTATATTTTACACAGAAAATTGTGATGTATGCGTATATTCTTCTTTACTCCTAACTAAACTCCTGAAACCTTAATATCTCGAATGCTACTTACTCTATAATTATTTGAGTATGTAGCAACTGATTTTTGTCATTTAAACTTCATTTTTCAATAAATTCACATTTGTGAAATTTTAAGTTGGGCCATCAATGGTACGAAGGGGGAAAAAAATAAATCAGTCTCTCAAGATACGTACCAGGATTTGGTAAGGAACCACTAAGATGATTATTAGATAAAGATAATGCTTTTAGAGAATGAAGTGCCCCAATGGATGGAGGAATGTTCCCGCTGAATTGATTCCAACTCAAATCTAATATCTCCAATTTTGTCAAACCTATGAATTGATGAAAGAGAATAGTACTTAGTATCAAACGGGACTTTCAAAGCATCAAAGTAGTTAAGTTAAACTTTGGGATTGGAAGGGAGGAGTTTATTTAATACCTCGAATCCGTAAGTTTCCATTGAGGCTATTGTCACTCAAAATAAGCACCTCAACATTGCTCAAGTTACCCAATTCTTGTACACGTTACGCACATGGAATTAGTGATGAAAAGAAAAGACATTACTTCAAATTTTAACTATAAAAATTAAATGGATATAGGAAATGTACCTTTGTTGAAAAAGGGTCCTTCTAATGAGTTGCTTGAAAGGTCGAGTAATTTGAGGGATGGGAGTGTATCCAAAATCCTCATAATATCCATATTCAACCAATTTCCGTTCAGATAAAGGTACTTCAACTTGCTCCGCTTCGAAAAACTTGTAAAATCTAATTAAAGGGATTATATATAGAGAGAGTAATACAATTAGTTTTTAGTATTCAATTAAATAAAGTCATCTGTTTTAAAAATATTAAGTCAATGAATAAAAAACAAAGTAAACGGTTTAGCATTTGGGTCCACGTTATGGTTCATTCAATGGACCAATTCGTGGGTTACATGAAAATAAAATGCAACATAGTTGAAGAAATAAAGCTGAAATTAGTCGCTTTCTCCTGATTGTCTATTTCAATTCGTCGCCCGACACACATTGCGTGGAAGTTGTCCTCATTGTTGGGCTTATGATCCTCCTGATAAGTTGAAGACTTGAAGTTGTTGTTGGAGAAGGATGTATCTCAGTGTTGTTTGAGTTTTTACATCTATTGTTGGTTTTGTGTAGTATGTTATAGTTAGGACTGCCTTACCACTTTTAGAACCTTTACCAATTGGTTTGAGTGTAATTTTTTTAATTAAATACAAAATTTTAAAAATTAAAAAAATAAAAATAGAGGAAACCGATGGAAAAAGAGTAATGTTATGTGGAGTCGGCGTACACACACAATAACACTCCTTTAATTGGTTGGGATTTGGTTCGGATTGTCTGAACCGAATTAAATTTTTGGTTATCTGAAATAATTTTGGATATGATTTTTATATCCAATTTAAATTAAATTTTTAATTTGGTTATAATTTTGGTTATCTAAAATTATTCGGATAAATTGATTAATTAATTAAAATAACCGAAATATACCATTATTCTTTACTTTTTGTCATTAAAAGTTTTTTTTTTATATATATTTCTAGTCTTTTGCTTCATATTCCTATGTATAAATTTCACTAAAAATAGAATTTTGTCTAAAAAAATTTTATATAGCATAAAAACTAAAATAAAAATATAAAATAAATTTATATTAAAAATTTCAGATAATTTCGGATAGTTTAGTGACTCATATTAGTAATTTTGAATATGGATCAATAACCATATCCAAACTAAAATTAATTTCGATTATTTTAATTTTATCCAAATTTATCTAAATATTCGAACCACAATTCAAAAATTCAGGTAAAAAATTTGGATAATTCGGTATTTGAAATGTGCCTACCCCTATTTAAGACTTGGCAAATTGATGTCTTCGTGCAAGGCAAAGAATGAGGGTCCTCCAACCCCCTAAATAAGAAAATAAAAAACGAGCTATTATTGCAACCTTCACCTTAAATAAGTAGCTATTCCACTTCCACCAGCTTATTTTCTAGAAATCAGGAAAAATTATAAAGATTTGTCTAACTTTTGCTTTAATAATATAGATTAAGAATATATTAATTGTTTTTTTTCATTAATTTATATAAAAAATACAAAAGTTAATTTTGTTAGCAGCAGTTAACAAAATTAAAATTAATTTTTTCATAATCAATAATAAAAAAACGCAATTAATGTATCTTAGGATACAGTTTAAAAAAACTGTAATTGTAATTATGGCATAATTATTCTTACTTTTTCCAACGTATGCTAAGTACAGTTGGCTACACAGTGATGCATGCTATAGTGCCATATATTTTCGAATGTTTGTAATGGTTTCAACTTTGTTTTCACTTTATTGTATGTGGCAGTGCTAGCATGTGGACTGATCGACGGTAGATGAGATTAACGTCAAATATAAGGGTAGTATTATGTCCACATATTGAAGAGAAAGGAAAATAGGGAAATTCATGGTTTAATGCTTAACTTTTTATCATTATCCTTTTTTGATAAACATTGGTACATATATTTTTGGTTTTTTACAAAATTTGTTTTAAAAGTTTGCATTATGAGGGCCATTCAAATATAAAGAAAATATTTAGGGTAAAGAGATTATTTTTCTCTTTGTGACTAATTTAGGTGAGAACAAATATAAAAAATAATTAAAATCTAGTTTATTGATGTAACTTGTACAAGATTTTACAATAATTATATAATTTTTTGTATAAATTATATTTTATTAAGCTAACAATTGAATTTATTGTATTTATATAGATTCTATGTTTCAAATTTAATATTGATTTAATATATGTTAATGTAACCTTATAAAAAAATATATTTTTATATTATTTATTTAAGGAATTCTGCCACAAGTTAAGCTTCATTCAATATAGTTTTTTATAATTAATTCTATATAAATTTTTATATTAGATTCAATTAAAATAAAATATAAAATGTAAAATTGAAATAAAATATAATATTTGTACTTGAAATCTATAACAAAAATATAAATTTGATATGAAAATTTATGTAATAATTACAAATTTTGTAATTAATAAAGTTTAACCTATATCTTTAACATACAAGTTAGACAAACCTTTCATTTAAAAGTCTTAAATTATATATTATTTAAAAATAATTAAATATATCTACTCAACTTAAAAGTTGATGTGTATAATATATATATGAGTGGTATATGGATAAAATTAGTAACTAATTTAAAAACTAGTATAATTTGTATTATGAAAATTAATAAATGACTCATAAAAAATTTTAAAATTTTATCCTTTCAAACTTTAAAATTTTGGCCCCTCCCTAAAATTTCCACAAAGAATTTAGAATTATTGATTGCGTACCTTGTGTTGCTGACAAGCTTAGTTTGTTGGATCTTAAATCCAACACTTCTAAGTTCTCAAAAACTGGAAACTCTGCATGAGCATTTTTCTTTATCAGCGAAATAAAATTTATTCTAAATTGACTAGCAGAGGTACTCTCAAAAGAAACAGAGACAAAAAGCCTAACCACAACCAAAAAACATTTGCACACGATCATTTCCAAAAGAGAGAAAAGTCAATTTCTCAAGGGCTTTTACTATTTGGGTAAGTTCTTAAGTGATTCAATCTAGCTTGTAGCTCCTACAGTTTAAATTATTGCAGATTAAAGGGAGGAAGATTACACAACAAGCGTACCTTTGTTCTGTATCCTAGAAATTACATTGAAGGATAAATTCAGACTTCTTAGCTCCTTAAATGGCTGAAACAAGGACAGGTTTAAATGCCAGCTGTTTTGGGGGTCATATAAGCTACTTGAGCGTACATCAAACTGCCTGGTATTGCTGAGGGAGAGCTTGATCACATGGCCTGTGGTGGAGTCGCAACCGACCCTCTCCCATTTACAACAACTCTTATGCTCTGGGTCATTAACCCATGAAGGAAGAAGTTGATCTGCATCAGAGCCATCTGATTTAACAAAAGCCTTGAATTCTAGAAGAGCCGTCTTCTCCTCTTCAAAGCAACCCCTGTTTCCACGGATAAAAAGCATATGGATTAGACCCAACAATAAAAACTTAATTACCAGTTGAGAATCCATCTGATGAAGAAGAATCTGCTGATATGGTTATGGTTTTGCACATGGCTGGTGCCGCCTCTGCTGGCTTTTATATTGTAATTATTCCTCGGACGATACCTAGGTACCAACTTGACTTGGCTAAGGACTCAGAAAGGACCCACAAACTTGGAAACTTTCATTTTGGTGTTAATTATTGTTAGGAGGATGCATAGGCTGATTTTGAGGGGCGTTCTAGAAAGTATTGGTCGCCTTGGAAAATTATGATAAAAATAAAGTGAAAAATATCCGTAGACTTACGTGAACCAAACACGTTAACGTCACGTTTATTATCTTAAAGTCGACTTAAAAAATAGAAAAGATTTTTAATTTTAAATGTAACATCGTTTCAATTAATATTTTTAAAAATTAATTATTTGATTTAATATTTTATTAATATAAATTATATATAATAATTTTTAAATTAATCTAATATTTATAGTTATTTAATTAAAAAAATTATATTTTTCATATATATTTACTGGTAATAAACTTTTTATGATAAGTAAATTAATTATATATATTTAATCAATCTAAAAATTAATATACATGATTTATAAAAATAAAACACTTAATTTAATTATTGGTTATTAAAAATATTTATTGAAGGGTGGTGTTTTTGAAATTAAGGCATTAATTTTTTTTAGAATCACAACTGAAATATACTATTATCTAATATAATAATAATAAGAGATTTTCTAATAATACAGTTTAAACATCATTAATTGCACTATTTTTAATTAAATTTACATAAAATTTCATATAAGATTTAAATACAAATATAATATAATATAATATTTATACTCAAAATTTATAAAAAAAATTATAAATTTTATATGAAAATTATATAAAATTAATTTAAAATACTTTAATTAATGAATTTTAAAAACACATATTAGACAAACTCTAATAATAATAATAATAATAATAATAATAATAAAAGAACTAATAGGTGATGTTAGGTCGGTGGTAATCATTATTCTTTGTCAAATTATATAAATAAATTAAATTTTAAAAATTTTTAAAGAAATTGGGAATAATTAAATTTTAATATTAATAATTTTTAACTAAGTGATAAATTAAGAATATGTATTTCTATTATTTAAAAAATGAATATTTATTCCCTAATTATTTATTAATGTAAAAGAAAAATTAAAAGTAATGATTAATAGACCTTTTAATTTAACATATTTTATAACATATTTATTAAAAAAATTATTATTTTTAAATTAGAATGAAAAGTGAAAAAATTTAAAACATTAAAATTTGAAATTTTAAGTTTTTTATCTTTAATTTAAATTTAAAAATATTAATTTTTAATAAATGTATTAATAAATACATTAAATTAAAAGATATATCAATTATTTTTTTAAAATTTAACTATTCCTAGTTTGCTATAAAAGTTTTAAATTTCTAGCTTATTTTTAATAATTTGACAAAAAAAAAACCCCCACTACTAACCAAACAATCCTTAACAGTTTACATGCCTCGGGACGCTCATATCGAGGTGAACTTTGGGCATATTAGCATGTTAAAATTAGCTTGTGGACTCCACGGGTAGGGATGTCAATGGGGTCCCGTGGGGTCGGAAAATCCTTCCTCGTCTTTGTTTCAGCGGGAATTTTTAACAAAGGGTAAATTTTGCCCTCCATCCCCGTTACCCGTGGGGAATAGGAATCCTCGCAGGGATCCCCATTCCTCACCAATTAATATAAAAAAATAAATTTTTTACATATAATTAATAAATATTCAATTATAATAAATAAAATTTTAAAAATTCAAGTATAATTAATTAAAATTCTTTAAATATAAATTATCCAAACATAAATAAAGATCAATCTAACATAAATAACTAAAAGGTTATTAATAGGTTAGATAAAATTGAATTAAATTTAAATTTTATTGAATTAGATTTAGGTTTGAAGGTTGAATTAAATTTAAAATAAAACTAATTTACATATTTTTTTAATTTTTCACAGGGATGGGGATCCCCACAGGGCCCCGCGGAGCAAGGAAAATTCCCTGCGAATTTTCAGTTTTCACGGGGAGAAAATACTCCCCGTCCCCATCCCACAGGGAGAAATATTCCTCCCCGCCCCATCCTCGTGGTGGGGATCCCCATTGGGCCTCGCGGGGATCAGGCAAAATTGCCATCCCTACCCACGGGTGACTAGGTTGCCGAAATTGAATACGGGCAAAATGCAATCTTAGCCCTAAAACTCACCCATATTAGCGCATAAACCCCTAAACTAAAAAATGTGCGTCTATGCTCTCAAACCCCATGATCGACGCAAATCAGCCTTCTTGGAGAAAATTCATGTGTTTACATATATTGTCCTTAGTAAATAAATAAAAGATACAAAAAGACTTTTTGTAATGAGAGGAATAATTAAAGTAAATGAATAATAATAATAAGATTAAAATAAAAAAAGTATATATTTGTCTACTTTAAAAAATAAAAAATAAAAATTAATTGATGATAAATTTAAAATAAAAAATTACAGTTATTTTGAGATGGAATTAGTAATTAATTTCATTTACTAACATTTTTCTGCAAATTTTTACCCCCAAAAAAAATCAGTTTAGGTCATTTCTAATCTATAATTTTTTTGTTGATTATATTTTTTGAATTATTTTATAGTAATTTTATTTTTTAATATTATTTGTTGGCCATAA